AACTTTAGACTGAACTTGGCGTTAATCTGCACCAACTTTCCTACGATCCGTTATATTTGAAACATTTTTGTGCTATTTTGAAAAATTAATCGATTCAAAATCATTGATTAAATCGGTGAACCGATTATTTTCAAAAAAATGAATCGATTCACTAAGATCGATTCTTGCCTCAAGATCGCTCAATGCTAAGTACACACTTAATTTTGTTTGCCGAATCTAGGTATTTTTTGTCGAGATAGGGACAGGAAATTGTGAAATACCTATTTTAATTTTCCCCATTTAATTCATTAAATGTCCACAGTGGCATGCTTTACTATTTATTTTTAATTAAGTCATTTTTTAGTAACTTGGTCACTTACTTGAACTTTTATCATAATAGTCGTTCTTCCCCTTTTCCAAACTTGTTTTATTTGTATTATCCTCTATCATCTGTTATGTCTGAATAGTTTTGTTTTCTGGAGCCACTTGCCTTAGTACACCGCTCTACAAATTTATTTACATTTCTGCACTATCTAGCGCCCACCTACGTTACGAAATATTGCGTAAATCGTAAATATTGCATACAAACATTGTAGCAAAAATTTAAAATAAATTAGGTAACAAATTGTATGCTACCTGGGTATCACAATGTGTGGTACAGCTTCATTATTTCTATCGCTTATTAGGCACTAACCAATTTTGATTAAAGGCTTGTTAAGTAATATTCAGAATAGAGCTATTCAAAGCATGGAGTTGTGAGCTAAAAATCACAAAATTTTCATCGAAGCTCATCTTTACACGAGAAACAAGAATCTTCTTTGGCCTGAACTGAAATATTCAACAATGGATCTCAATCAAAGCCCCCCAGCCACCTCACTGGTCGACAGGGTTTCCTTCGGGCTGAAGATAACAAGAGAATAAAAGACAGGAACCAATACCGAAAAGTGAACAAAGGCACACACAGCCCAACCACAGCATAGTAGCATCATCGGGGTGGAACACCACACAAAATGAACATAAATTATTCAACAATGTCGAACATTGTTGCTGGTGGAATTCAGTTGCTCTCGGGACCAGTGCAGCAGTGGGATCCGACGTGTGAGCATGAACATTTCACCCGCCCCGTGATGACCGGTTTCGTTGCTAAGGTCACCGATATCGCGGCACACTCTCGTTCACTGTTTGCCTTTGGGTGTCGAGTGACAATTTAAATCCATTTGAACCAATTTGCTGAACCCCGAATGGGCCCTCGGTCAAACGGATGCTGCGGAATGCTACTGCTCTGCTGCTGTTGCTCCCAGTGCACAAGTATGTGGACCTGAATGTGTGAAACGAATCCTATGTGTAAATACATAAAAGTGATTGTGTGACCGCGCGTACTTACACCTACCTACATACATATTTACCCAACTGTGTGTATATTCGGGGCTGCGTGTGCCTTTAGGTTTCGATTTACTTTTTGCGGAGGATTATCATTGAGACCACGTTAAACTCCCCTTTATCCGGCTGCAGTGCACTCGCGAATCTCACGCGAGCAAAAGCCATATAACCGATGGAATGTTGTTGATAAATGCGGGTTATGCAGCGCGGCAAGGGGGATGATAGATTGGTAAACAGTGCAAGGGTGATATGCAGTGATATGAAGATCATTCGTATGATGGAGTTGTTAGTGTCGGGGCAACCCCTTTTGGGATACATTCGATTGGCATAAAAGTCATTTGGCATTATGGACGTTTGGCATAACACAAGGGAAACGTTTAAAGTTTAGCAATTCGGGAGTATTTCATCATTCGGAGTTGTGGTATTCAGTGTAATAGATTTATCCCGAGTAGAACATCTAAAATTTCTATTAGATTGATTGATATAAGAGGTACAATATAACACATTTAGTTTTTCTTTTTTATGGCGCTCTCAGTCTAGGGTACTCTAAACGGTTAGTTGTACATTGCTCATTGCCCCAACATATCATATCAATAGTAAATTATGCTGTGATAGCAGAATAAGCTATTAACATCTGATAGTGCACAACTTCCCTAATAAAAATACCATACACTAACGCTAACCAAAATATTGGAACTATTCCGCGAATGGTTTGGATGATACTCTGAACACGTCGTTAAGCAAATAACCATACAAATTTTATTAGGGCTACCAATCAAATAATATTATATTGATAGTAAAATTTGATAATTTGCTATTCCCCTCTACCCGAGATTCGTCCAAAAGTAGTCTGGGTGGAAGCAGAACGACAGCAACACTTGTCACAAATAACATTAAGATATCTAACCACAGTTTTTTTTCTTGATTTGTTTTCCGTCGATCTTGTTTTCTGTACTGAATACCAATACTACCGAAGCCAGGGAGGCAGCTCCCACACCGGGACCCTACCTATCAATCGCTATCAGTTTCCGGTCAAACTGTTCGTTGCCGTCTCGTAGCACAGGGGTTGAATAGCAAAGCTGCCCGGAAGCTTCAAGGTAAACAAAGCCAAACGGCTTAAGTTTGCTAAGGAGCATGCTGATAAGCCCCTAGAGTTCTGGAAAACGGTTCTCTGGACGGATGAATCAAAATTCGAGCTGTTTAACCAGAAGCGGCGAGTTCGTGTTCGTGGTCCAGATCGGGTGAGGAGCTTCAGGAGCACCACATCCAAGGCACGGTGCAGCATGGAGGAGGAAATGTGACGGTCGGGGGGTGTTCTTCGCGGGGTGGAGGGGCAAGCCTCGTGAAAATCAACGGGATAATGATGGCAGATTCCTACATCAACTACCTCCGGGAACATCTTAAGGTTTCGCTGAACTAGACGGGTCTTGAAGAGAAGCTCATATTTCAGCAGGACAACGACCCGAAGCATACTGCCAAGAATACCAAGTCTTTCTTCCGGTCTTGTCGGATCAAACCGCTGGTATGGCCTCCACAAAGTCCGGATCTCAACCCTATCGAGAATTTGTGAGTGATTCTCGTTGCCAGGGTTGACAAAACTGGTGTTACCAATCTAGATCAACAATTGAAATAGGAGGAACAACCAAACGTAAACAATGGCTTTAAACGCAAATTCCTCGAGAATCAAAGCACATCCAAACAACCTAACACCATCATCTGATAGAGCAAACTTCCTTTATCGAATGGCAATGTTAGTTTGCGTGGGAGTGTAGTGATTCTCGAGAATTTTGTGTTTAAAGCCATTGTTTATGTTTGGTTGTTCCGCCTATTTCAATTGTTGGTCTAGTAATAAAAATAACTATTTTGAAACCCTGGAGCGCGCCTTCGAAGAGCTAGATCCACAGCACCTAAAGAACATAGTGGAGAGCATGCCGAAGCTCCTGCATCAGGTCCTCAAGGCGATTTTAATTATTAAATATTAATATTTTTTTTTTAGTATTCCATAAATGAATCTTCAAAAAAATACTATTAATAAGATATCAGAAAAGACTAGGGTGTTTTTAAATTTGAAATAAATAAATGAGAGAAATTCAATAAATGATGAGGTGGGCACATTATTTTGCCTATTTGAAGGGGCCGTAGAGTTCTCTGCATCTCTCTTAAGCAGGGCTGTTAGTCGTTAACGTCAGTGTTAACGTCTTTAATGGGAATTTACCGTCATTAACAACCCTTCTCCTAAGTTAGTGTTCAACTAACAATCCTTCCCATCCTCAGCAGTTGCAATGACGTGGGCAGGACAGTTCTTGATTGTTGGAGATAGTGCTACTTCCATCCAAGAGGCCGAGATCAATCCCAAAAGCTCGGTCAATACGTTAACGGAGAAGGTGAAAATACCCTCAAACAATGGTCTAGGATTTGCACCACCTACGAATTTTTGCAACATGCTTAATGCGAATGCTAATACGAAAGTAACATTGACAGATTGTCTTGGTCGATATTCTTTTCGCATCCCCACGTCCATGTAGTCGCATCCAGCTATTTTCAACGTACTGTTTTATGAAAGAAGCTATTATCTTAGAGAATCGATCAAAGTTACTTAGGACCTTATGCATTGTTAAGGTTGATTTCACTATTATTGTGATTATTATAACAGACGCCAGCATTAATCAGGATCAGTGGCGTTTCCTTAACCTCAATCTACCTGTGCACCAACTCTCAAAACATAAACAATTATCAAAATATTACTTGCAATGTATAAATATCGAGTAAACTAGAAGATTAAGTGTATTTTTAAACGGATTCGAGTATGAATATGGCATTATATCTGGTTTTGAAAGTTGGTGCACAGGTAAAAAGTGAGGTTACGGGACCGCCACTGATCAGGATACTGATTGAGGTTAAAAAAAATGATAGAAACTTAGCAACTGCAACTTCGATAGCTTATCGAAAACATTGTGTTTGTCAACCCATATTCAGCCTTTTTGTCCTATTTTTTCTTTATTATAGTGACTTTTACTGCCGCTCTTCGCAAATCGGTCCCATTTGCATTTTTGTCAAAACTAAATTTTGAAATGTTAATGGTAATCCATATTTTTATAATACTGAATAAGCTCAATAACTTTGTTTTGAAAATGTTTGGAAAAAACAGCCAAACGAGTGTCCAATTACAAAGCAAATTTAAAACACATTTTTCTCGGCTTGCTGATTTTTGTGCTATGGGACGGACTTTTCATGAGCGGCAGTTTAACCCTGAGGACCTAATGCATTTGATATTACTCCCATTTCATCAGTTCTGGCTGATCTTGATACAACATACTCCAATCGATCTGAAATTCTTTCTAGTTTCTAGAAGTTGTGCATAATTTTGGGCTAACTTAGAAAAAAAAAGTACTTTTTTCCTCACCCCATTAGTTTACTTATTTTTAAATTAGACCAAAATTATGCTCATCATTCAAAAACTAGAACGTCGCCGAATGGTGATGCGGTCGGATATTCGGTACCTAAACATCTCTAGTAGGTACAAACTTACACCTATTGATGCAAAGCGGTGCATACCATCCTGAATGGGGGCTAACGGGAAATCATGCAATAAGCAAAAAAAAAACCTCGATACTAAATACTTGTACTTGTTCTCTTTGCAGGAGACCCACAGAGCAAGTGGCACCCACGGCATCAGCAGCAGCAGCAACAGCAGAGGGCACCTAGCAAACATATGTTCGACTAGAAGCTTATATCAGCGGCCACCGGGTGCGCGCGTACCGTATAATGTGTATCTCTTGCTAACGACCAGTGATGTGAATGATGATGATGATCCAGAAACTGCAGCAATGATGTAGAACGTGAATTTGCAAAAATAAAAAAAAGAGTGTGCATATCTCTTAAAGTGCAGCAGCAGCCGCAGCATCAAGTAGTGCAGTCAGCAAGTGATATCGTATCGTGATATCGTGGTTACGCTTGTGTGCGTCCAGTGTCTGTGTGTGACTAGTGAAAATAAAGGCAAAATATCTACACCAGCCAACGGCGAAAGGCAGAACCAGTTTTTCTCCTCCTGCATTATCAATTTTCTTCTCGCGTGTGCAGTAATATATATATATACATGTTTTGTGTTGCATTTTATCTTCCGAAACACGCGTCTTGTGCTTGTTCCGCGTATGCAAGAGTGTTTTATCCCGATATCTCAGTGTGTTAGTGGCTGGGTGTACGTGTGACGTGAAGGGAGGCCTTTGTTTGCTATCAGCCCCGTGGTTACATATCCTCACATCTCCTGCTATCGAATGCGAGAAAACACGGCAATAAATGACTGATCGAAAATTGCCAATTAGTCTGTCGGACCACAGCGAGTTCGGAATCAATCACGGATCTGCGGCCATCATCGGTGGTGGCGGGGTCATTGGCAGCGGCAGCATTGTTGGCCTCGGAGTGGGAGTCGGCGGTTTGTCAGGTCTAGGAGGAATTGGAATCTGCGGAGCAACAACGGTAGCGGCGTCGGTGACCGGAGGTGGCAGCAGCGGGAATGTCAGCAACAAGCATGCCATCGCACGTCTGAAGCACACCAATTCCGTAAGTAGCTTCTCTGTTTCTTTTCATTCACTCGAGAGTTTCCATTACACATGACCGAGACTCGACCAGTTTGACTTCCATCGCAGCAACAACAGCAGCGGCGGTAGTACGACGTAGATGGTGGTGTAACAGTGGAAATTTAATAACGTGCCTGTTTCTGACTGACTTTGAGACGATGCAATAGTTTTGCTCTTCTTTCCACTTACTATATGCATACTTTCCTCCCAATATTGCACTCGCTGCTGCCGTTGCTGAATGGAAGCTCACAATTGCGAAGGTTTCGCTGGCAGCCGTAGGAGCTAGCTGTGCCCTCTTCTTATTGACAACAGGAGACAGCGGCAGAAGCCGCGATTGCGAGCATGCAACGCATGGAATTCTAGAAATGCCTTTCTCGCGCCTTACCTCGACTAGGGCAGTCGTGTGACCTTTGCATTCTTCGTACCAGTTTCACTGCATTTATGTCTACACCACATGGGTTGAGTTTTACAGCGGTAGGATTTGAGCACTCAACCAATCTACTAAAAATGTACACAAAATGAAGTTTAATGAAGTTGGTGTTTTCGAAGAAGTTTTTAGTTAGGTAAATACGCATTTGATAGTCGTTCATATATTAAGATGCTTACAACGCACATTTTTTTTTTTACCTTTTGAGTGACATTTGGCGATATTGAAATGTTGTGCAAAGTTGTAGAACTGATCATTTCCATAAACTTTTCTGAAGATACTAATTTACTAAGTTGTCATTTTAGTTGAGATATTAAGCATTTTTCATTGAAGTCCCTGGAAATCGATCTCTTATGATCGATTTTCTTCTACTAAGACACACAACTACACTGAAGTCTTTTTTACACGGTTTGTCGCGATTTACACGGTACATTTTTAACGATTTCTCGACAACGATACAACCTATCGACTTGATTCCAATCACATTATCCGTTTCAAGCTATAGGTAATCGAATTGCATACTCGAGGGGGGCGACACATCTAAATATCAAATTTAGATGCTCAATAAATCTCACACTAGCGAATAAATCTTCGAAAAATCTTCTTTCATTTCTCGCATTTACTTGCATCGCGCATCATCTTTTTGCAGGAAATCTTTAAAATCGTGATAAATCTACTTTCTATCTACTCAGCGTACGCACAGCTAGCCACAGCAAAAGATAATATTTCCTGCATCGTAGAGAGTCGTCCCCCTCGGGCATACTTGAAAAAAAAAAATCACAATTTTTGGTATAAATACAGAAAATATGTCTATATGGACCATAGCATGCTATAATTACAAATGGCATCAAAATCCGATTTTTTAAAAACATTTAAACATGTGAAAAATAAAAATCTCGGTAGGTTTTTTTTTAAACGGCTTTTTTTACACGGTACATATCCCCCGTGTAAAAAAAGACTTGAGTGTACATAGCTTTGTACAAGACAACAAAGCGGTATCTAGAAATTCTGGCAAGATACAACGTTTATTTGATCAATACAATAATAAATTCAAATACACATTATCAGCAATTGGGTTCTTTAATTTTGAAAAATGTATCGGTTTTTATACATCATCTGAAAGAGCTTCATTTTCTGAGCACAGCGATATTTTTTTCGAACCCACACACTTTCATCGCGGTTGTCAAATCAAGATTTAAAGCAAAATAATCGCTTCACTGTTTGACACTAAACTAACAAACTGACAGCTCGCTCCCATGCAAAGTGAAACCGAGGGGCGTTAACAAGGTGATTTTTGCAAATGTAATCGTACTTATTTAAAATAGTTCCAGTGTACCGACATTAATGAAAATTTTGGATTGGGATGCATTTTTAATGCAGATTACGAATATGCATTTACCTCAATACCATTAAAGAACCCAATTAAAACATTCACAGATCGGCTCTATCTACCCATAATCGCATATCAGTCCCATCTTTGCTTGATTTCCTATCCATATGGGACTGATATGCGATTACGGCCAGATAGCAGGGCTGGTAGCAGGTCACTTTTTAGTGACTTGGTCACTATTTTGAAGCCAGTCACTAAAAAGTTACTTTTTACACCAAAAAGTCACTAAAGTCACTATTTCCCTAAAAATAGTCACTTTTTCACTACTAAAATAAAGCGAAAAAAAATTGAAAATTTTAACCAGGGTGACCAGTGTGAACCACAAAACTTTGGAACACCAGGAAAACTATTGGGAAATGCCTACAATTTCGATTAAATAAAATCGGGAAAAATATACCTCCTTTCCCAAAAAATAAATTGTAAACCTTCCATCAAACTTTCCATCTGTGATGGATTTTCAAAAGTCTTTCAAGGATGATTGAGAACTTTTAAAAGTCCAAAGTAAATTTTAAGAGAATTTTAAAGGATTCTAGGGATGACACCAAGGTATATCAGAGAAGAATACCAAAGTACAGACTACGAAAGTCTTATGTAAAATTAAGTGCTCTGAGGCCCGTTTCTTCTTCTCCGCTTAAATATTAAGCCAGGTTTACCTATATAGTTAAACTTGGCTTAACACATACGAGCGTCACTTTTGATTATTGTTTAGATTATTAGAGACGCAAAAGTCAGCTCCGAAACAATTTTGGGAATAATTCTAATATAATTGTGAGTGCATTTTAACGAGAGTTCTGAGAAGAATTCGATGATAATTGAATGAGGATTCCAGGTACAATTCTAATAAGAATTCGAAATTAGCTCTGAAATTTTGCTTAAGGGGGCTCTGATGATAATTCCATGAAAATCCCGTGAACTCCAAAGATGGTCGCTGCGGATAGGTCTAAAAGAATTCTGGGGTGATTTGTGACGATACTTGCAAGCGAATTCTAAAGAGTTCGAAATAAATTCCGAGAAGAATTCCAATGGAATCGAATTTTGAGAATTCAATCCCAAAGGAATTCTGGGAAGAGTTTCAATGTTTGTGATGGATTTTTGTTTTGAGAATTCTGAGAAATACTATGGGGATGGGATTCTGATTGAATGCAAGGGAGAAGTCCAAGATTATTCTAAGCAGAAATTTATGACATGGAAATTCTAAGCATGGATTTATGGAAGGAGCCTTCAGGTAGTTCCTAGAAGAATCAATTAAAAATCGAAAATAATCTGCTTTAACTAATCATGTGTTATTACTTCATGCGTGAATTTAACGATTTACATAGTCGGAGATGCTTAACTTCAAATATCAGACTTAAAGTGGAAATTTTATACGATCGATTAGGAGGGTCAATTATACAATAGTACGGCAGTGTGAAAATTGTATATACAAAGAAGAATGCGAGCAAAGGCCAATTTTGAGGAAGGTACGAATCGGGTAGATGTTTACGTCAGATGGCGACTTGAGTGTGAAACAATCGATAGAACTGTTTCCGCACATCAGAGGTACATGGGCAAATCGGCGATCATCCCTTTTATCAGTGGTGGCAGGGGGAAACACCCCTCACCAGCCCTCATTAACGGATGAGCTTGGTAAAGGAGGTGCTCTACCCTATTCGTACCTTCCTCAAAATTGCCCCTTGTTCGTTTTCTACTTTCTGTATACAAATTTCACACTGCCACACTATAACGGAACTATAAGCTCTTGACTTTCATCTCCTCATCTATCGTATAAAATGTCCACTTTAATTGTGATATTTGATGTAAATTATTCCCAACTACGAAAATAATCTATTTCCAAGAATATTGTTGATTGTTCTGCAAAGAATTTGTAAACTATGTTTGTAAAAGCTTATGTGCCTCTAAGTTTAAGGGAAAGTTTTAGAGATCATTCTGAATAAATTCTCTGAAAAGTTCTTAGCAAATTATCAAAGTTATCTAGCTAGATATATCAAATATTTAAAGATTTCGACCGCAGAATAAAATTCAAGATCATAAAAAATGGGAATTACTATTTGCTAGTCATCATGTACTACGTAAGCAAAAGTAAATTATTCAAATCACTTCAAATGCTCTTCACAGGAGATTCTGTTGTGAGATTCGATTACATTAGAGGAATTTATGAAATTTGATTTTAAGTTCCATGACATATCAAACTGTGTTTGAATTTCTAAGTAACCATATAAATGGTTTCTTATTTAGTATTTACAAGTCACTATTTGGTCACTATTTCCGTAATTTTAGTCACTAAAGTCACTACTATTATATCGCATCAGCACTACCAGCCCTGAGATAGGTAGATATCAAGGAACAAAATGGTACGTACTGCAATCTCCAGTGGACAAAGCGGTACAACTAAACTATAGCTGAATTCAGGATGGTTGGTTGGTTGTCTTTATTAAGGTGATTCCTTCTAGAGTCCACAAATGGCCGTCACCTAGGCTATACATGCACTTCCATTTCGAATTTTCAATTACACAAATCTCGGAAATCAGTACCCATATCATTTGAAATTGCTACTTCATGTATGCTGCAGTGCAGCAAACATGGAGTAACAATTTGAATGTTGCACGTGTCGTAAAAGCTGATATTTGTGCACTTAAAGTTTCGAAGTGGTCACGAGAATAAGGATGTCACAGCGAATCACCTTAAGGAGATTTCCAGTTCTAGTTCATCTCCGGAAATTCAGGCAAATTTAGGTACTTTTGCACAAATGCATCAATAAATGACCTAAATCAATAGAAATTCCAAGGGGTAATCAACTATGTTCACTCTGCCGAAACACATCACGACAAACTGCTTGACACGCTAGGGCACAAATTGACAAGAATGAGACTGAATATATTATAAAACGGCATCACGGTTTTTTACTGACAATTTTCCAATAGTTGCTAAGGTTTTGCACTTTATTGGTAGTCGCTGATCTTCGCTTCAAGATGAATTTAATAAATCCATCGGACTAGACGATCGTATCCCGGATTAGAAGTCAAACCTGTATGACTTTGCTCGGATCGCTCCTGCAGCCAGTACTTCGCCTAATTCCCTGCAAGAGTTGTTAAAGTGTGGTGATAAATAGCAGTGCCGAGATCATAACCAGCAACAGCAATCACTAGATCATCCTCAGGGTCATCCA